TATTTTTTTAAGATATTAATAAGAGGACGTTATATTAGATCGATCTCAGTTAATTAGTTAAATTTATAATCAAGGTAATAAGATTTTGATAATTTTATAAGAAAAAAATCAAAATAAATTATAAAGGTCAATTTTAAATTAACATAATATTAAAAGATGAAATTAAAAAATATAAAAATTAATTTAAATTAATCTATTAAATCTATAATCTGAGTAATCAAATCAAAATAATCTCATAAAAAATTAAAAAATTATGAAACTTAATTTTTAATGAATTTAATGTTGAATGATAAAAAAAGAAGAAGATAAAAACAAAAACAACTTAAGTCAACCTGAGCTAATAATTTAAACATGTTACTTACATCATGAGACTATAATAATTTCATAAAAATTAAATATAAAAATTACAAAGCTTTATTTTTAATAGATTCAATGTCGAAAATTGAAATTAATTAAAACAAACTAAATTAATGAAATCGAGATAACTTTATATAAAATAAATTAAAAAAAACTACAAAATCTAATTCTATAATCAACTCTCATCAATATAAAATTAAATTAACAAATAAATTAAGCAGACACCATGTTTTTAACCCATGCCTTTTCCTTTTCTACTAGTTACATGACATATGTGATGCTGCTGGTTAATTTGTTTTGCATAAAAAATATATAAAAAAATTAAGATTTAAAAGTGTTAGGTTTTTCTGAAAGCTATACCCAAGAGTCTTGAGTTTGACTGCAACGTCTGATTTAAGATTAATATTTATAATATTAATAATAACATTAAACTTGTATAACCAAAATTTAAGTGAGTTTGACTACAATACCAGACCCAATTGCATTGGATGTAGGTTTGACTACAAGGTTGTGTCATAAAAATATGATAATTAAATAGATTAATTAAAAAGAAAAAAATCAGAATCAATTGGGTTAACTCGTCAAATTAGGTTAACCTACCAAACTTAGGATTCGTGTCATGAAAGTGTGATAACTAAATAAAAAAAGATTTAATATTAATAAACTAATTTTTTTAAAAAATTAATTAAAAAGGAAAAAGTAAAGAGAAAAATACTCACATGAAGGAAAAAGGTCATAAAGAAAAAGAAAAAAATCAGAATTTACTGGATTAAACTATCAAACCTGGGATCCGTGTCATGAAAATCAAATAACTAAATAGAAAAAATTTAATATTAAGAAACTATAAACAAAAAAATAAACTAAAGGTATAAGCTTTTTCGCTGTGGGTTGCACCGTGCTATTCACAGTAAAAGATTTAAAAAGAAAAAGAAAAAGGAAAAAAAACAAAGATGTACGCCACAAGTTAATTTTTTTTCTTACATAAAAAATATATAAAAAAGTTAAGATCTAAGAGTGTTAGATCTTTCTGCAAAAATATATCCAAAATCCTTACGTCTATCTGCAACACTTGATCCAAGAATACTATTTATAATATTAATAATAACATTAAACTTACATGATTTAAGTTTAAGTGAGCTTGACTGTAACACCGGACCCTGGAGTGTTAGATGTGAGTTTAACTATAAAGTCGTGTCATAAAAGTATGATAATTAAAAAGAAAAAAACAAAAAAAACCAATAGAAAGAAAAAAAACTAATGAAGAAAAAGAAAAAAAATCTAAATTAACCGGGTTAACTCTTAAAACCAGATTAACCCATCAAATATGGGATTTGCGTTACGAAAGTTTTATAACTAAATAGAATAAAATAATTGATGGGTTTACCTAAAATTAACTGAGTTAACCCGTCAAGTCCGGAATACGTATCATAAAAGTCTGACAATTAAATATAAAAAAATTTAACATTAACAAAGTAAACTAAATAAAAAAAATTAATTAAAAAAAAATCTGGGTTAACTTATTAAATTAGACTAATTCATTAAATTTGGAATCAAACAAAAAAAATATTAAAATAAAAAAACAAAAAAATTTAAAAAATAATTTTACGTTTCATTTAATTTTTAATATATATTATAATATAATATAATAATATAATATATTAAAGATGAGAAAGTGAAAGGTATGAAAAAGCTACAGTAATTTTTTGATGTCTTTTATAGAATATTAAAGATGAAAAAGTAAAAGGCGTGGAAAGCTATAGTAATTTTTTTTTTTTTAATGTTTTTTGGAGTATTCTATAATGTTAATGTAATTCGATGGATGGTATATTGCCACGCAAAAACAATATGCTTTAGAAACAAGGAAGGAATTATACTCTTCTATCTCATAGGATGCTGAAATTTATGAAGAAAATTTAAATGGACTTTTCATGTATTTAATAAGATCCCTTCACGACCTCATAATCATGCATGTCTTTATGTAAGGCAATATATGAGAAATCTAAAGAAGAATATGACATCCATGAAGACAAAGCCTCCTCTAAGCTGCCAAGCTCAGAATATTAAATGACATGGAATTAGAGTTGGTTTGAATTTATAATCATGTATGTTTTTTAAATAGTTTTTGTATCAAAATATATGTTAATAATATTTTTTTTATTTTTAAAAATTATTTTTGATATCAGCATATTAAAATAAATTAAAAATATTTAAAAAATTATTAATTTGAAGTAAATAAAAAAATTTCAAATTTTTTTTAAAACATATTATTAGATATACAAGACATAATGAACTTGTTTTGCTGTCAGTTTTTTTGTTTTTTTACATCAATCCATTTAAATTATTAAAAAAATATTTAAAAATATTAATTTAATACTTTTTCATATCAAATGTATTTTAAAAAAAATTAAAAACAATGTCAAACATATTTAAAAAATAAATCCACAAACAGTTTCAAATACTCTAGCGATCAGCATTATAGTGTAGTGTATTAAACCTCTTTATTTGCATCTAAATAAGTTATTTATATCTAAAACAAATGTATTTATAAAAATAATAATTCCGAGACATGATCCATCGTGCAATCCAAATATAAGAGGAAACACTACTCCCGTTTAATGGTCTTTTATATCCTGCCACTCCAAATTCCTCTCAACTTAATTATTATATTTTTTTCCCTGATGATTGCTGCAATGAATTCAAATCATGCTTACTTTTTTTATTATAAAAAATATTGTCACAATCCATATTTATCTCTACCCACTGTTTATTAAATAAAAGTTAACCCCGAAAATTAATTAATAACTAGACTAATTTAATTAAAACTTAATTTAATTTAAAAAAATTCAAAACAAATTCATTTGAATGGACCCACTCAACTTGGATCTTGGAATCATACATTAGAGGTTTGATAACTTTATTCTAAATACTAACATCATCAAGAATCGAAATCATGATGGAAGGAATGGGTTCCACGTGTCGCCATCGAAGATAACATCCTCCAACTTTAAGGACCCCACAATGACCCCTAGAATAGGGCAGCCCATTGTATAGCAAGGGTACACTTGGGAACCTACTCTAATCTAGTCAGATCACGAATTGATATCATTTTGCGGGCCCCCCCTTTACTAGGTCTTCATCCTTATCCATCCTTTTACTTTGTCCACTTCCCATCTTCTTACCTCCACGTACCCTTCACGACCCCCTTTTAACGCTGTCTGGGCCTTCCCAGTAAATGTGACCATAGTTAAATCACACTTGGAAGGAGATAAAAATTAAAACCCCAAGCAATTATTCATAGATATTTATCCATCTTCTTCTATATAAGTGAACCAATCTCCATTGAAGGGAGACAGAGAGAAGAGATAAACTAGGCAAGATGGTTTTACTAGACAAGATGTGGGATGATGTTGTTGCTGGACCTCAGCCAGAACGTGGCCTCGGCAAGCTTAGAAAGATCAGCACCAGACCACTTAACATCAAAGGTATTATTACTAATTCTATGCATCTACATATTGTTAACTGTCGTCTTGTTTAATTTTACTGATATTGATGATTGTTTCTGGTCAGATATTGACGTCGGAGAGGGGAGCAGTCCTGTTAATAAGTATCAGAGGTCCATGACTATGCCAGGAACTCCAGGGACACCGACGACACCAGTGACCCCTACAACTCCATTGTCGGCGCGTAGCAATGTTTGGAGGAGCGTGTTCCACCCTGGTAGCAACCTTGCTACTAAGAATATTGGTGCTCATGTTTTTGACAAGCCACAGCCTAACACACCCACTGTCTATGACTGGTATGTAAACCCAAAAAACAAAAATCCAAATTAATTTGCATATGAATATATTTGTTGAATTTTAGTCTCCTTCATGTATTGGTTACTCGCTCAAAAGAAGCTTATTTTGTACTCATGAAAAAGGGAAGGAAAAGAATTATTCAGATTTCTGTCTTATTTGTACTTAAAAGGCTTTGTTTTGTAAATCACTGGATAATTAATTAATTTCACGTGAATTTTCGAATAGGGTATTTGTTTTTGTTTTCTACTTTATGATCTTCCTTTTAGATATGTTTTTCTTTTATTAAAAAAAAATAAAATGAGAGGAATCTCCAGGTGTTATAATGGCGCGTGGGAGTAGACCTTTCTCTCTCTTATGCATGCATGCAAGTAGACACGATATGGTATAATTATTTTCATTAATTTGTGCTTCAGCGGACTCAAGCCGTTGGATCTGCATCTGATGGCTTGGATCTGCCGATTGGATTTGTTTCTTGATCGTTGAAATGAGTTTTTATGTTGTATCTGATGATCACAGGATGTACAGTGGAGAGACGAAGAGCGAGCATCGTTGATGAGGTTGCCTTCAACCGAGGCTGCCCATGTAAATACGTACTGTGTTTTGTTTTTCAGCACTTATCTGCAATATGTCTCTAGTTGTTATGGTTCTACGGTTCTACAATGCCTGGAACATCCTGATCTGACTAGTTTTGTATTGATCTTTCTTTCTTGTGAGATTATCCCAAGTTATGTAAACATTGTACGGTTGGTTGGTCTTGTAGTGAATCAAAGATCAATCAGGGAAGGTGGTGATGATGACTTATTAAATATAATAAGAAGTTCTTGTTGATGCTATCTAATGATGTGCCCTGTGCTTATCTGCTATCCCAATTGCTCCTTAATTTATTATCATGGAGCATTATGAAGAAGACGATCAATAAATTATTATTTAAAGGAATACTGATCCTAGGAGAAGGGACATCTTGCAATGGATTATTGGATAAGGAAAAGGGGATGCATGTGGGCATCCAATGGCAGGCTAGCTGCCTGGCATGTCATCATTTCTCGAGGAATTGGATATTGGATCGGTTTTGTCCTAGGTCAAGGTGGTCCTTTTTTATTGATGATCAGGGCTAGTTACCATTTCTTGAACAATAATATTTCGTCCCTGTATTTTTAAATATATTAACTTTTTGTTTTTTCTCGTTTCAAGAACTGTAATTGGCTGTTGATTTATTGAAAGCAACACTATTTATTCAAAAAATCACCGGTCCCCTCGGATTTTTTTTAGTTAATATATAGCCAAATATATCTTGGAAGGAAAAAAAACTGAACTAGTGATATTGCAGCACTTTATTAATGAATGAACAATAGAGGGATTAAGTAATAAATAGATAAGAATTAGAGGGATGTAAAATGGGAATTTTTACACTAGAAGGACTAGCTAGTTATTTTTCTGCAAACACTGGTACTGAACAACAATTTACGAAGAAGAAATTGGTTGAGATGTAGCTCTCCGGTTACTATTGCATGGGGACGACCGCTCTTGTGTGATTGATTAAAGAAATTGGTGTTCATCTTTTTCAAGGGAAATATTAACCAGTGAAGTCAGCAAGAGGCGCGCTTTAAGGCTTCTTGGTTACTGGAACAAAGGAAAAGATAAAAAGAGACCGAAGAACTTTTGATGCGCGTCATCGTTCGATATGGTTCAACATGAAACAACTCGATTTTTAGCTTTGTGCCTTCCCATTTAGCCTGAAGGAGAACTCAGGCTTGTTCCTGGGTCATCAGGACTTGAGCTCTTGCCCTGTGGGCTATGCCTCTGCTTTTGTGATGAAGAGAATATTGGCAAGCAAATGCCCCACTGCAAGTTTTTGGCAAGCTGAAGTGAGAAGTCTATTCATAAGGAAAAGTTGGATCCAACGTTTATTCGTGACAACCTCCAATGCTTCAAGAGTATCCAGTCTGCTGAGATTGGGTGACTTCGATGTAAAATCAAAACTGCACTTAGTTATGCGGGAAAGCAAAAAATAGACAAAAGAAGATGATGTCATTATATAAGCAATTCGTCCATATGGCTGAGTTCCACTGGGAGTTGTGAGCAGTGGGTGCTCCTAAAATTCTAGAGTTTTTCTTTGTATTCACAAATAATGAGACAATAGTAGGTAGTGTTTGATTGTTATTGGAAATAGTTATTTCCTCAGGTTTATCTTCCACCAAAAACACACACACACACACACATGATCTAACAAGACATGGCAGCCCACAAGTGACCACGATTTCGACAAGCATGGCTAAATTTTAGGAGTTTCTACGACATGTAGTGACCACGATTTCAACCAGTTTTTACCTGAAAATTTAGAAGTCACATAAATAAAAGTAAACTACTTCCTTTCCCGTTAAAAAAGAAGAAGGTGAAGTCTCTTGTTGCTTGAAATTATGGTAACATGCAAGCACCCCTAATTCTTCAATGCTCCAACCACATCAGAATTTATGGGTCCCAATAAATGGGACTAGTGTGCACTAGAAATTATTGGTATGATGGAACATTCAAGCGCCAGAGATATTATCGCAAAGCACCTGATTTACAACTTGGAAACTTGGGGCAAGAATTTGCTCACGTTCAGTAGAAATAAGCTCAATTAATGCTCGCAAGAATTTAAGCAGCAAATTGGAGCAGTAAATCATCATAATCACAGCATTGCACATGGAGTGAATGTATTCGATAGGCAAGATCTTGAACGAAAAAAATTGGACAACTGACAACCATTTATGCTCATTCACGTTGACCCTGTACAATTACTACCATTTGTATAACGTCAGATCCATGAACATGCACGCTATGAGAAAGAACAGCCGGCAGAGGTCCCCGTTGTGAGTGTATATATATCTATACCTGTGTAAAAGCGAGATGTAGAAAACTTGGTATCCATGAGGATTTTGACAGGTAATGTCTCTACCGTTCAGACTTTCACACCTTTTTCCGATATGCCAGGAGCTGCGGAAAAAAAAAGGGCAAAAGGAAATATTTTTTATGGTGCTCATACAACTATTCTCATCTGAATGTGAACATGGATATAAATATATGTTGACTAGGAAAAGGAGCTCACCAGGTGCCCGTGGATGAAATTGTTTGTTTCAAGTCTTCCCAAAGTTTCTTGTTCTTCTAAAACTTGCAATTTATCTTTGCATGGATCAATTATACCAGGTTTAGAAATTGGAGTGCTCATGGAGATTGAAAAGTCGACCATAGAATTCATCTCTCGGACCAAGTATATCTCCACTTCATTGGCTTGCAAAGAGGTTTGAAAAGCAACATACTGCAATCAAACAAAGAATTGATGACCAATTCTACACACTGACATCAGGAGCACTTACAATAAATGAGGTGTCTTTATTATAAAACAGGATATAGGTTAGAAGAAAAATCACCTGACACAGTTTATTGATAGACAAAGTTGGCCTGCAGCAAAGGTATGGGCGCTGCAAACTGGGTACTCTTTGCTCATCAAAAGAAACAAGCATGAGGTTGATATCCAACTGAAATAAAGAATGCGGGACAATCATTTCAGGGCAGTAAAGTGAGAGCTCAAGGTGAAACAATAATCTAGAAACAGAATAGTGTCATTAAGTTGACAGTCATATGGGTTAAATGCAGAGCCTGTGACTCAGAATGCAGAACCGTTTGATCTGGTTTAAAGCTGCAATTAAAGTTTCATAGTTCCTCATTGTATGCAGCTCACAACATGACCAGCCACAGATCAGCTTTACCTCATTATCATTTCCCTCCAAGTTCCGTAGATAATCTGCTAACTTAGAGATGCGACTGCTTCGAGCATTTTTTACATTGCTGCTGTTTGCACTGCCATAGCGGGTGTGACTCCGCATGCCATTTTTTCCCCATGCAAGCCTTTCTGAGGAGCCAACAAGCCCAGAAGATCCCCCCACAGATTCTTTATTCACTTCTGAATCATTTTCATCACCACCTCCATCTGCATTAACAGCAGCTGAACGAGCACCTACCCATTTCTTGCACCTTTTTGGTTTGACTTCTGCACTGTGCTCGTCAGCAGATGATGAATCTTTTCCTCCATCACCATTTGCATCTTCATTGTCATCAGATCCTTGAAATCCAGCCATTCGATAATTTCTTCTTCCCCTAGAGTGGGCATCTCGAAAACGACTTGGTGTTCTCCTTGCAAATGCTGCTGCTGTCACTTTAGGTGTTGTTTTTTTCCTACTCAAAGCTTCAGCCTGTCGATGAAAAGTCTGGGCAATGGTAGCCTGGATCTGCCCAAATAAAACTTGGCATTAAATACCTTAAGGGACGGATTTGGAGAAGTCATTTGGCAATTTTACTGCATAGGATTCACCACCAAGGCCTAGAGGGCTAACACTCAAAATGGCAAAATCGGTGTTACGCATCATCAAAAATCTGTATTAAAATTCAAGTCAAAGAGTACTGTACAACTGATAGAAACATGAAAGACTACAACATATGGATCCACGTGGACATAAAGTTGCGTTCGATCACATTACATGGTTTGACAATTCCAGCAGTGGTAGTGCTATTGATGGACCTATAGCATGAATACATGAAGAATGATATAGTCTTCTGCTAGTGTAGTTTTCTATAGTGGACTAACTAAATTCACCAGGAATTTATGTGAATCTGTATTCAAAAAGACTTTAAACAATAAAGGAGTATCACACCTGCTTATTGCGAGCCTTCTCATCTTCTTGGAAAGCCAATTCCTGCAACAGATATACAAACAATTGATGATTGAAGTTCAATATTTTTATACGGAAAACAGATTTCAGTAGGATGGAACCTATTCACCTCTTCCTCATATTTGTCAATATCTGGATACAAGGCTGAAATTAATGCATCATAATTTGGGTCATCTCTCAAAGACCTACGACTGGCACAATGTGTGCGGCAAGCAGGGCACTCATTGTTCCTGTAGTGAATTTCAGTATAGATTTTTATTAGGGTGGATTTTTAATCTCAGAACGCCTTCTTTAAACAAATGTTAGGGGGGAAAGAATCATTGAAGACAACAAGATTTTGGTACCCGAGCCTCATAGATTTGTCAATGCATTCCCTGCAGAAACGATGCAGACATTCCATCACTGTTCTTGTTTTGCGGATAATACCTGCACATAAAAAAGGAGAACAATTTCGTACAAACAAATATTTTTGCTCGTGTATAAAGGGAAAGTGGCTATTGTGTCTAGAATGTAAGAGATAATGAGCATACAAGCACTTCGTGAAATCATTGAGTTATTTATTTGTCCTAGAGAAAAGTTTTTCTTAAAGAACAGCTAAAGAGCAGAAAACAAACATCTTGCTATTCCAATTTAGGAACAGTCAAAAGTTATCACGAGGTTGATAAAGCAAAGACCTAAACTCACACCTAGACAGATTGGACATTGTACTTCCTTGCGTATCTCAGACAACTTCACTACAACATATCTGCAAACAAGCACCAACACAAACAGTATCAGTCACTAGAATATTCACAGCCAATCACTGATGTCTAGTACTCAGCAACATTCTTTTTCCTTTCTTCATGCATAAGAATTATCATCAAACTTATTGCTTTGTATGCCTGGGATATTTATGAAAATCAAACTTGATTAGTGGCACCATCATGCAGAAAAAAAGTATGAATCTCATTTTTTAGATCCATACTTTTCCTTATGTTGTTGACATGATACACTACAAACATGAGATCGCATGATGGTCTAGACTACTCATCCAATAAAAGAAGGGAACCATTTGGACATTGCATCATATCAGATCCCATGCCACTAAATCCCATGATTGAAAAAAAAAAAAAAACTATTCATATGCTAAAATGTCATCAAAGAAGCAAAAGAGATGTTATATGCCAAACAAATTCATCAAAAATTCAAAAAAAAGAAAAAAACTAGGTTCACAATTATGACAAAATTGCACAGCTCATATGCTTGCTGCTTTGTCCAGTATCATCATTCAGCTCCTTGGAAAATGCATGTATATTCTACAGCTCCACATGGTATACCAAAAATAAAAATAAACAAATAAAAGTATTAAAATTCCTCGACTCTCAAATTTAAACAACTGGGTCATCGAGCTGGTTAACAGTTAATCAGCAATTACTAAGCTGCCAGTTAAGCCACTTCCTAGACCAGCTTGTTCCTCTTGAATTAATCCAAGTACTCAAGAACTTACTTCAAACAAATTCACACTGCATATCCAAAAGGAAAACAAATAAATATACTCCAATCAAATAACCTGGAAAACATGCAAACACCGGAACCTTACCCAGCATATACAAAACTTTCAGCCACATAAACAAATCCCGGTATGAAACTGCCTGCAATTATCTTATGACCAGCTACATATATATGTATGTTAACACAAGAAACCAACATTCATGCACAAAAACCAATTCGAGCCAAAATCACCAAGACCCTTTAAACCCAAAACCAAAGTCCACACTCCATCGTACGCGGTTGAGAATTCAACGATAGATAGCTAGCCATTGCAAGAAAAGAGAAGAGAAAACTCAAGAAACCCACAAAGCTTGTCCACTAATACACTAATAAAATGTAAGAAACAAGCAAAAAACGAAGATCCCGAACAAAAAAGCAACAGCATAATCGATAAAGCAAAGCGATCCAAAACAAGAAAAACTTACTCTTCTTTCACGTCTTCGTTAATACTTGAAGAAGACTGGCTTCGATCGGATTCTGTTAAAGTGAAAGGCAACAAACTTAGCCGAAAAAAGTTGATCGAATCCAAAACAAAATGCACAAAGTGAGAACTAATGTTTGTTGTTATCTTAGAAATCTATGCACACGTACGCTCATCAACACCACCACCACCACCACCATCAATATCGTCTTGAGGCTGTTGCTTTTGTTCATGGTTGTTGTTGTTGTTGTTGTCGTTGTTGTTGTTAGTGTGGTCTTGTTGCTGCTGAATAAGAGCATCATCATCTTCCTTTTGGAGGGTCTCATGGGAACGCTTCTGGGCTGGCATTTTTTTTCTCTCGGAAGCCAATATATGCAATAATAATAATGAAGCAAAGGAATTGAGGGGGATTTGCTGTTGTTTTGTTTTAATATTGGTGATGCTTTGCTAAATGGTAATGGCTAGTGTCCGGCTGGCTGCTGCTGCTGCTGCTTGATTCTATAGAGAGACATAGCGAAGAAAGAAGGTGGTGCCGTGGTGGTGGTGGAGTAGCGCTTGAGGTTTCGCTTGACCTTTCCTCGTTTTAGAGAGAAAGAGAGAGAGAGAGGCGGATGGGTCGAGAGGCTGTTTGTCGTGCCAATTGTATTTACAGGACTTGTGTGTAACACATGTATAATTTACTTCCTTTCCATGTACATGGATCTATGCATTCTTCTACTGTATAAAATTTTTATTTTTTTCTACGCATAAATGCTCTAGTTTTATACATACAGACAGATAGATGCTGAGAAAGTTTAGTGTTCTATGTCGAGTATATATGATTAAATTATAAATATTCATACGCTTTATCTTGGCTATGTTATTGGATTCTAACCACCAAAGCTTACGTGGGCTAATCCCAAATCCCAAATTAATTTTACATTATTCTTTACAATTCCTCTAAATATTTGTTAGAGATACGGTGCTCATGCTCTAATCATAATTAGCAGCATCCTATTATTAACAAAATTCATGTTAGCAACGTAAGAAATAATCTCCCCTCCCTCTTTCATCCTTGTACGGAGAAATCTCCAGAACAAAATCATGGTCACCCTTCTCCCATGAAACCCCCATTATTGCTTGAGATACGCAGCCACCTTCAGATTTTCCCCCAAAATTCCCATCAATCTTAGATTTTGGAGTTTCTGGTTTGGACTTTCAAGAGAAATTATACCAATGAACTTTCAGATTTCCAGCAGTCTTAGACAGGGCGGAGGGTGATGCTCTGTGGGTTGTGGTTTTCTTCGATGTTTCTCTCTTTTCTGTTGTCTGCTCTAGAGAGAGAGGAGATGGGGGCGGGCTGTGATTTTTTTAAGGATTTTCCATACAATGATGAGAGGAGAGGGGATACTTTTTTTCCTGACATGGCGGCGTAAGTTAATGAAGCTTTAATACCATAAGATTTATACATACAAATAATGAATTTTTAATTGCCTGTCGGGGGCTAATGAGTCGCCCCGTCATTTTGTATAAGAATGTGAAAAACATTTTCAACAAATAAATTATTGAAGTTTGCGAGCTTATTTGACATTTGGTAAGTCGCGGCCCTTGCCCGCCATTCTTTTGCTAAGCGAATTTCGTGAATTAATTATAAATTAGACCTTAGTCCTTGAGTTTAGCAAAATTGGCTAATTAGTTATTATAGTCCACGCAGACGGGTTGGAAAAATAAATGAATTAACAAAACCTATCCTTAAAAATTATTTGGGAGTATTATTAAATTTGATTCAATAATTTTTTAATTTATTTTTTAATTTAAATTTAAAATTAAATTATATAAAAGTTGTCACTATGATATGATTTAATTGACTTATCCAACTCAAAAATAACTTAGCATACCAATAAAAAAATAAAAGTGAATTTAAAAAAAATTATGAAATTAATAAATAAAAAACCTCATGACCTAACTTCTAATTTAATTTTAATTTAAAATTAAATTATATAAAAGTCATCCATTATTACCCAATAAAACTTGGTTGGTATAAAGATAACCTAATCAACTCGTATAAAAAAGTAAAAAAGAGCATAGTTATTAAATTCAAATTAATTCAGTGGCTCAACAAGTCAGGATTTGTCAAAAGACCAACCGATACAACAACCTAACCAAACCTAATTGACCCATGACTTAGGCGAGGCCCGATATTTTTTTTCTTTTCAAATATATTTTTTTTCTATACTTTTTTTTTCCATATTTTTTTAGTTGGTTATTAATATTTTTTATAGTTTTTCAATATGGGATCTAAAACCCTTCAGTATATCTTTTCTATAATTCTAAGAAAAAAAGTTTTTTTTCAATATGAGATTTAAAATTCTTTTGTATATATATTCTATGTTCATAAGAAAAAAAAATTATGTTTTTTCAATATCAAATAAAATTTTTTTTTTATTTAAATACTTTAATTTAAAAGCACAATATAATATCTTTTTAATATGAGATAAAAAAAATTTAAAATATTTTTTAAAATTTTATTATTTATAATATGTATAGCATATGTTCATATAAAGTTTTTATTAATTTTTTTTATATAAAATATTAAAATTTTAATTTCTTTTTAATTTTCTAGATTAATCCAATTGATCCGTAAAACTTAAAATCTAACTCCTTAGCATGATAAACTACCGAACCATGTTTGATAACTATGAAAAAGAATCAAGTCTATATGGACGTAGACATCACCAGTGAGTCAGTGTCGAATGGGTCCTGCAAATTCTCTTTAGGTCCCTCCTCATGGGCACTCGACATTGTGCTCTGCTGACTTAGACCTGTATATATTAACATTATTGATGCATTAATTTGTTAATCCATGGCTACAACAAAACCAAGAAAAAATAAAATTTTACATGGCTAATTCAAATGAGTTATACAACAACATACAACGATCTTCCGAAAACAGAGATATTACTCATTATTCTCTCGATGAAACTGTAGATTTAATACTCGTCAACTTTTATTTAGCATTCAACCTTCAATTTTTATCTATTTGACATGTTTATGTTTAATTTATTTTAAATATAATACTCATTAACAAAAAAATAAAATAAAAAAGAAAAGGGTTTTATTTTACTACTTTTCACAAAATAATATTTACTAAAATAATTTTTTTTGTTCATCTAGATTTTTTTTTACAATTTATATATATATGTTAATTTTAATTCCATCCTTTCGTATCAAATTTATTTAGAGATTAAATTTTATAATTTTTTATAATTTATTTTTTATAAAGTTCTTTTAGTTTCTTGTTTTAAATTGTAAGTTTGATGAGTTGACTCGAATTTTTTATTTGATATTTTTTAATATTAGATTAATTAAGTTTTTTTTTTAAGATTATTTCAATTTCGTAACTTGAGTGATGGGTTTAATGAGTTTATTCAGATTGACTAGAGTTTTTTTTGTTTTTTAATTAATTTTTTAATTTTAATTATGTTATTTGATATTAAGTTTATTAATTATTGAACTTCATATTATTTTTTTAATTTATTTTTTATGAGGTTATCTCAATCTCATGATTTTGATAAAAAATTTAACATATTAAGTCCAATTATTCTCTGTTTTTTCTAATTAATTTTTTTATTAAATATTTAATTAATTGAGAATTAAACTTTATATTGCCTCATAATTCTTTTATTATACTTAGTATTGCTTAAAATATCAACATTAAGATATCAATAAAATGATTTTAGAAACCAATTTTTGAAAAAAGTAATAATCATTTTGTCATAATGTATATCCAAATGAATGTACTCGAATGTAGTCCTTCATGCAGAATGTGTCACGGGGTCAATTTTTTGCTCTCGAAGACAGACCTCGCGCGGTAGTCTAGTCTCGCCAGACTCAGCCTTTCCCTTACCGATTCACTCTTGTTTTGCCTACGACTAGTTTGTCCCACAAACCCAAGAGATCCCCATACTCTTTCAATGTCCCAAGTAAACGGAATAACACTAATGGATATGAACATAATTCAAAACACAGCAGATTACAGGAACAAGTCCCAACCTTTTCATTAACTCAATTAAAGGATTACACAAAGTCCATCTTGTGTGCTATGCCCCTTTCGTTCCTATATTCTACACATTTTACAGCCTATCTAATTACAAGATAATGGAAGTTACAAGTATAAACTGCCTCTAACTTCTTGCACAGCTGGAGCATCCACTATCCCATGTTGTAGTCACTTTCTTCCCCACATAAGAAACTGCTGCAACTGTCGATAACTGCTCCCAAAACTGTCGCAACTGCATTGGCATGTTCTCCCACAAGCCAACTGCCCACTGCTAGCACACATGCTGCCAGCATAACTGCCTTGCATGCCTTGGACCATCCGCTGTCCAAGTTATCGTCAGCCCCTGCTGTCGATTTTGTCGACGCTGCCGAATTCCTCGACGCTGCCGATTTCAACAGTGTTGCTGAATTCCCCACTGTGTCATCCCAGCACTGTTTCGTCAAGGCCTTGGACAATCCTCGCCCAAGTCTTAACTCTCATCAGCTCACTGCTGTGTTAGCTGTTGCGTGCTGCCGCACACGCATGCTGCCGATTTTCGTTATTGTCATGGGGGCTGCCACCCCGTAGCTACTGTCTAGCAACACTTTTTATCAGCCTATACCTTGATGGATTTTAACCCTGTGACAATCCTCCCTCACCAAAAAAAGTTGACGTCCTCGTCGAACCAAGTCTGAAGCACCTCTGCTCCAAGTCTGCACCATTATTCATAGTTCAAGATTGCCCACACATAACCTCTCGACTTTGCCCATATTTTCATCCAGAATATCGTCCACTGATTCTGCGATACCAAGCTAACATTCTCTTCGTTAGCTCCTGCAAAAACCCAAGCTGTGATCAAGTCTTCCCTCGGTTCTAGTTTGTATCTCATAGGTTAAACCAAACTTCGAGTCCCACCCAAAGCTCATGAGATCAATGTCCTCAATCTCATCTGGACACCAATAAAGCTGTAACACCCCAATGTCACATTCTGCCATGCTCCTCTAGAATTCATATGCAACTTCCCCAAGTCACACACAAGCTGTCCTCATTCGTTAGCAAAGCTCACATGCTAATTCGCCCACTACAAGCCTGTTTTCATGAAGTTTAGACACTCCTTCCAGCACCCAAGGCTTCCTTCCCTTTCCTCACGAACAACACCACATACTAAATCACTTCGAAGCACCATATGAACCCCCATATGAACATACAATCCATCAACCATTCAGTATGCAAAACTTGCAAGAATTCAATGAGACAACACATTCGGTGATCAACAAAGTCTTGTGTCGAAGTTCTTTCACCAAGTTCCCAACTGAACCTGTTCAAACATACAACACATAGCAACCCAGCATCAAAATCCCGTCTGATCTGGCTTTCCATAGGCTACTGTCATACCCAAGACACTTCATCAGCCCCACAAACTTTCGTTGACACAACAACACCACACTATTTCAGCCCCTGTCACATGTTTCGTCCACCGAAAATCAAAACACTGTTTTTCCAACAACGGCCAAGCAATCTGTGCCTTCGTCACCCTGACTCGTCCATCATCAAGATGCATAGAAATGCCCCTACTGCCTCCCCACCAAAGTAGTGCACCAAACCATCCTCGTTGACGATCTTGACTCCTCAACCAAACTCACTGTATCGACTGCCGAATCTGTCATCTTGATCAGCCCATCGTCAAGACATTTAGACTCCCAAAACCACATTGTTTCCTAGCTTGTCCATCAGCCAAGACACCCAGCAAACTGTCTTTGCTTCCATCACTCCACTGTCCACTGCCAAAGTGCACAAAATAGATTTTGAATATGTCCCACCACAGGCAAACTCGCCCAGCCCTTGCCTACCTCCTCCAGGCTGGTCCTAACATGACTGAATCCCCATCTCAGCCACTAAGCACATGCATGGGATTCACGTATGCCGTTTCCTCAGCACCATCTTCCACAACAATAGCATTGAGTTTTCCCTTCTTCGAGCAGTCCCTAGCAAAGTGATTACCCTCACATATAAAGCAGTGTAGATTCAGATTCATACCTTTTTCCTTGGCCTTCACATCTGATCTTCCCACACCAGTAGCCTGTCGAGGTTCTCCCCCACCGAATCTCTTCTTCTTTTTCATCTCACCCATATCCTTAGGCCTCGATGAGACCCCAGAAACTCCAGCAGCCCTCTCGCTGGACTCTGCTCTAAAGTTTGCCAATCCATTGGCAGCAGCAATGGCAGAAGACAAGTCCGAAATTTTCTGCCTCCTTAACTCCAACTATGCCCACGGCTGAAGTCCCGACAAAAAGTTGAACATTCTATCCTCCTCAGACATGTTATCAATATCAAGAATTAAAGAACTGGATTTCTTAACATAATCCC